GGCGCCGCGGCGGCGGAAGGCCTGGGCGGCGATGCGGCCATGGCCTCGTCCATGACGGTGGCGATGGCGCCGCCGTGGACGGCGCCGGGGAAGCCCTGGGTGTCGGCGCCAAAGGTGAGCAGCAGGGAGAGCTGGCCGGTGAGCGGGTCGCGGTAGACCTGGTGGATTTGGCCGAGGGCCTCGTCGCGGCTGAGGGGCCCCGTCACGAGGTGCGCGGGCCGCAGGTGCGGCGGCAGCTCGGCGTGGGCGGGCCAGCAGAGCGGCGTCGTGTCGGAGGGGTCGTCGGCGGGGTACGTCCGGACGACGCCCGTCTCTTCCGCCATGGCGTAGAGGGCCTCGCGGTCGGACTGGTCGAGGAGCTGGTGCGAGAGCGGGTAGCCCGCCTGGTAAAACATGGCGTTCTGCGTCCGTGCCACCATGGGGAGCGCGCCGGCGTGGGCCAGGTTGTCCTCCGCGTCCTGGTCGTCGTGAGAGAGCTTCATGCGGGCCAGGGTGCTGATCCACGGGTCGACGTGGCACAGCTCGTCGCCGGCAGAGTAGCCCACGTAGAGCGAGAGCAAGGCAATGGCGAGGCGCAGCGTCCAGCGGCGCAGGCGGCTCTGCGGAGGCGGGACGCCGCCGGGCTGTGGTGAGGGAGCGCTCGGGAGGGTGCCTGGCGGGGCGGACAGGAGGGTGGAGAGTTGGCCGGGTGTCAGCGTCGAGAGTTTGGAGAGGAGGGCTCGTTCGGCCTGTTGTTGGGATACGGGAGGCATTGTATTGGGTGGCGGTGGGTGCGGCAGCTGTGCGCGGCAACTTGATCTTGTCGTGAAGGCGCGCCGCGCGGTGCTGGTCGCCATGTGGGATGCTCGTGTGGGCTTCGAGAGCTCCCGCAGCACAGGCCGCCAAGTGTTCGCTGCCCTCATGACGGGCAGATTCAAGGCTCTAGAAAATAAGGTATAGAATGTATGGTCGGCCGCCTGCAGGATGCAGGCTGCAGGCTGCAGGCTGGAGCGGTCGGTTGGTCGCTAACAATCGAATCGGACGAGATGCATCGAGGCTCGAGGTCGGAGGGCGAAGGGCGGAGGAGAGGGCTGGCGTGCTGACTCTCGTGCGACTTTTGCGGTGCGAGGTGGACCCAATTGGTAAAGCAGATGGAAGTCTGCGCTACATTGCCATGCTTCTAGGTTGTGGCATGTGTTGTTTGGGTGCCAGTTGAGTCTAGTTCTGTCGTGGAGAGCGGTGGGATTTTGATGAAGAAGGAAGCTGGTGATGGAAGTTCTTGACGGACGTCTCAATCTCAACGGGGGCTGACGGATTAGAGCTTATTGCCGTTTGTGGCGGTGTTGCCGTTTGTGGCGGCGTTTGTGGCGGCGTTTTCATGCGGCTCGCTCGTCTTGGCAAAACGGTGCGGTGCCGTGGACGGACCTTGCGTTGATGCACTCGCCGGTCCACTGCGTCCACTGCGTCCACTGCGTCCGACTAGATTGCCTGCCACATCACCAACTTTGACAACATCAAGCTTTGACAACATCATCCTTATTTTGACAGGTAGTTTTGGTCTTTATAGAGCAAGATGATCTAAAATGAATAGTCTATTGAGCCCTCGTCATGTCATAAACTTCATATCCTACTGAATCTCTGCGTCTGCAGTGTAGGCTCTTTGCAGCAGGACCTCGCGATCCATCGCTTGTCGCAGCAAATGCAGCAAATGCAGCAAATGCAGCAAATGCAGCAAAAAATCTACGACATTATCAAAGTGCTCCAAGCCACCCAGATTCGCCGTCCCTTGGGCACAGTCGCCCGCCCACCGCCATGGACGCCCCTTTCGGCCTCCTGGGGCGCCTTGGCGGCCGCCGCACCATCACGGAGCACACGGCCAATCTCCATGTAGCTCTCGACAGCCACAATCATGGGCGCTCGAGCGGCAGGCGGAATCTCCACCATGACGGCCCGGGACTCATCGTACAGGTCAAAAGCCAGGTCCAGCAACCGCTTGCGCACCTGCATGACGCCGTCGCTGCGGGGGCTGCGTAGAACATCTTGGTGCGTGAGACCGGCCTCCTGGAGCCACGTCGTCGGCAGGTAGACGCGGCCGATGCGCGCGTCGACGGCAATGTCGCGCGCAATGTTGACGTACTGCAGCGCGAGACCCATGCGGCAGGCGGCGACACGGAGCTGGTTGCGGGTGGTGGCTCCTTTTGTGCTGTGGCGTTGCAGCACGACACCCGTACTGGTCACCTTGTTCCTGGGGAGGCCCAGCTTGGTGGCGTCCGTCTCGGCCCTGGCGTCAGTGTCGTAGAGATGGGTGGGAAAGCCGGGGATGCAGTGGTGGAAGACGAGCTCGAGGCACATCAGACCGACAGTGCTCGCCACGTAGGAAGCATATAGCTCGAGATCTGCTACATTGGTGATCGGAAACTGGCCGGCCGCTTGGTCAAAGTCCATATCCATGACGAATCCCTGGAGAAGGTCGTCAAAGGGTCTTTTGGGGATGAGATGGACAGGGAGATGACGCAGGGTCTCCAATGCCGAAGAGGGGAAGGTCGAGTCGGCGTACTCGCGGGACGACATGGACTCCTTCTGCGACGAGGGTTTCGTCTTGTTGACTTCAGCGTAGGAAAGGTCGAGATGCTTTTGCAGCTTATCGATCCAGTCGGACGCAACAGCATTGTCCGCCGCGTCATCAACGAGGTCGTCCGCCAGACGGCAGTATGAGTATCTGGAAGCAAGGTCAGCATACTTCGCCTTGAAGGCCTAGGTGATGTAGCGGGGGATCATACAGGAGGGTCATGTGGATGCGCAGACGGCCGGGGAATGCCGAACTGGCAAGAGAGAAGCTGCGGCTCTTCTTGGCAAGGCGGGACGCCGCTTGCCTGATGGCGGTGATGCGACGCATGTCGTAGTGCTTGCTCGGCCAGAAGCGCGCCTTGATGAGGGACATGGACAGCGTGTCCGAGGGCTCGGCAAAGACGTCGGGGTGGGCGTCGACGACAGCGACAGCCTTGTCGAACGCAGCAAGGCCAAAGACGACAAGCATGTTGGTGACGAGGAAAAAGACGGCCTCCTCGATTTCGAGATGGCCGAAGAGCCGCACGCCGAGCTTGGTGCCGCTCTGGATGGCCCAGGTGCCACGACCCAGGGCGAGCTCGTCGACGACCCAGAGATAGACTGTCGGGGCGACAATGGGAAGCAGGGTCGAAGTCCATGGCAGGGCGAGTATGAAATGGGCCGTGATGGACCACGTCAAGAGGGCAAAGGGGGCAGCCCATGCGAGGATCAGGCCGAGGTATGTACCTTTGGCACTTCCTGAGATGAGATGACAGCCGTAGACGATGGCGGCTGCGAGGAAGACTTGGCCGGCAATCTTGGCCCTTCGAATGCCAGCAGGGACAGCCCAGGGTGCATTGAGATACTGGGCGTGTAGCACAGGCTTGTTGAGCAGGATGTACAGCTGTGCTGTGAGGTAGGTCTGGATGACAAAGAAGAAAAGCTCCTCGGCGGGGATGTCAAAGAGGGAGTAGCCGAGGACTGCATCGGGAGGATAGTTCCAGATGTTGGTGCGAATCAGGTAAGAGTCCCAGGGGATGGTGGCCACAACGGCAACCGTTACGATAAAGCACAGTTTGCCGCGTCGACGCGTGTTAGGAATGGGTACACCACAATGGTCAAGAGGGTGGCAGGCGGCACTGTCCAGAAGAGGTGGCTAGAACTGTGAGCTTTTCCACCATGGGTTCCACGACAAGCAGGCCAAGGGACACTCACACGAGGGCATTATCGTACCCCATAATGGGTGATATGCGCGCCGGCAAAGAGTTGACCGTCTTTGTCAGGTCCCGGCAGGCGCGTTTGGCGGAGGAAAGACGGCAGATTTCACGGTGGTGGTTGGTGGGTAGTGGTGAAAGTTGGCGTTTGGTGATTTCAAGCAGCACAACTTGTAGTCAAGCCAGTGAGCAGAGCTGTCGGTCGGGCACAGACGGTGAATTCAGAAGAATTCTGCCGAGACGGGTGTTAGTCACTGCTGCTTCCTCCCTATGGCTGGTATTTTGAGGCTTTGTCGTGGAACAGGTGCGTACCCTTCCCTTAGTACCTGTGATACGTGATGCAAGGTACCGGGTCGTTGGGGTGGTGCGCCACACGCCTGACACGCATGGAGGCGTTGACTGGTGAATCAATGTGACAGAAAGAGGGTGTGAATCAGAGCGATACACAGTGACTGAGTGGAGGTGACTAGATGTGGTCGGTGCTTGGTATGGGAAAGAGGAGAGAACAGGAGGAGATAACAGTGAGAGATGACAAGGTGACGACAGACGCGAGACTTTGTGCTGCACAGCCGACAACAGAGTCAATGCTGATTGCTGACACGGACTGAGAGTCAGATGGAAAATGACCAAAAAAAAAAAGAAAAAAAAAGAAGAGAGCCGGGCAGGAGAGGCGATTCTGCAGAGGTGAGGACTGTCGTAATCGTCGCTTCATCACTCACTTATCGATGCCGCAGCTCGCACTCGCACAGAAAGGCTCCGAAACGGTACCCTGACTGCCTGGGCACAGCTACTTACCCTAGTTTTATCGAGCTTGGTTGCTTGATGCAGGGGCATACACCAACGGCAAGGCAAGACCACAGCGAGCCAGCCTCCGTCTCTGCCGCTACGGATATCTTCTTCGTCGGAACTTCGGGCATCTTGGCAGGCCGTGCCTTCAGGTGGACCGTGGCTTCAGCCCAGAGCGACATGCAGTTGAGTGCAATGGGGGGAAATACAGCGCAAGTTTCCACAAAGTCTATGATGCGTTCATGCCAGAATCCTGCCCTTGGAGCCCTTGGAGCCCTTGGAGCCCTTGGAGCCCTTGGAGCCCTTGGAGCCCTGCTCTTGCCGCCTCAACACCCCCTACAGCGACCCGCTTTTCCCCTGCGAGAGCCCTACCACGTCCGCAGGCCCCCTCAACCCGCCTCAACCCCCCTCAACCACCCCGCATCTTCCGAATGGATTCATTGCTACTCAGTACGTGCTTGTACTGTAGTATCTTTCGACATCGACGTCCATTACACGTCAACCCCAAGTCAGGCCAAGCCTCCTCGACACATGCCTTACCAATGAGAACCGTCAGTTTTTCCTCTCGTTCCACCCGAGCCCTCGCAGCAGGCGCAGTGTCACAGGCCAAACATCACCAACGCGGTTGCTATCCCACCTGGTCTGGAATCGATTCTGCCTCTGCGGCCCACGCAATGACCAGTCTTGCCAGTCTCACCTCGTGAACCGACTAGTTGCCCACGACCTTCTACTTTCTGCACGCCAAGCTCTTGTCACAAGCCACCCCCGGCAGGCCTGCCACGGAGCTCCCTTGCATGCATCTCCCGAATCTACGTGTCATCACTGCACATTCGCGCCATGGAACCACGCGCCTCGGCCACGATGGCCGGAGGCTTTCATCGAGCTCCGCCTACCGGTACATCATGCGCGAGTGCTGGCTAGCCTCGCACATGGGATATGCATTGGACCGAGACCTCTCTTCGTCGCGTCATACGCTCTACACCTAACTACCTACCTTACCTACCTTACCTTACCTTACCTTACCTGTAGTCCCGCCGCATGTTTGCTCTTGTATTTTTCTTGTTCATCTCTGGCTACCACCTCCTGCTTGACAAGAAGTACAGCCACACTCTCGTCATCTGTACCTCCAGTCGTGATAAGACGCAAGCTTGTGCCGTACAACTTTGTGCCTGTTTGTCCTTCCACATTGCAGCTCGTTACAGCAAGACACACGAATAGACAGACGGCTTGCAAGTATTCACAATGCAAAAGTCAGGCGAAAAGCCTCGAAAGGCCATCGTCGTTGGTAAGACCCGTGGAACCTCTACCGCCTGCCTCTCCTCTGATCTTATCTGACGCCTTTTCTGCAAACTAGGTGCCGGCGCAGGTGGCGTCGCCATTGCTGCGCGTCTTGCCAAGGCTGGCTACAAGGTGACTGTCCTCGAGAAGAATGACTTCACTGGAGGCCGCTGCTCTCTCATTCACCACGAGGGCTACCGCTTCGACCAAGGTCCCTCGCTCCTTCTGCTGCCTCAGCTCTTCCATGAGACGTTCCGCGATCTGGACACCACCATTGCCGACTCGGGCGTCGACCTCCTCCGCTGCCAGGATGTCAACTACAATGTCTGGTTCCACGACGGCGAGCTCTTCAAGCACTCGTCCGACCTGGCGACTATGAAGGTTGAAGTCGAGCGCTGGGAGGGCAAGGAAGGGTTTGCGCGCTACCTGAGCTGGATGCGTGAGGCGCATACCCACTACGAGGTGTCCGTGACCGACGTCCTTCATCGCAACTTTACGTCCTTGTTCAACCTCGCGCGGCCAAGCTTGCTGAAACATGTCGTGGCGCTTCACCCCCTCGAGAGCATCTATGCTCGCGCGAGTCGCTACTTCTGGACCGAGAGGCTCAGGCGTGTCTTTACCTTTGCCGTCATGTACATGGGCATGTCCCCGTTTGATGCGCCGGCCACCTACTCTCTGCTCCAGTACACCGAGTTTGCCGAGGGCATCTGGTATCCCAGGGGAGGCTTCCACGCCATCATCGCGGCGCTCGTCCGCATTGGAGAGCAGATGGGCGTCGAATACCGCCTCAACACGTCCGTTGCCAGCATTTCTACCGCCGAGGAAAGCAACCGCGCGACTGGAGTCGTTCTCGAGTCGGGCGAGTCTCTGTCGGCGGATGTCGTCGTCATCAACGCCGACCTCGTCTACGCCTACAGCAACCTGATGCCCAAGACGCCCAGCACCGTTGCGTACAGCCAGTCGCTGCAGAAGAAGGAGGCATCCTGCAGTTCCATCTCGTTCTACTGGAGCGTGAACCGCAAGATCCCCGAGCTCGGCACCCACAACATTTTCCTCGCCGAAGAATACCGCGAGTCGTTTGATGCCATTTTCAAGCGCCACGGTCTCCCCGACCAGCCGAGCTTCTACGTCAATGTACCGAGCAGGATTGATCCCAGCGCGGCACCCGAGGACGGCGACGCCATCATTGTTCTCGTTCCCATTGGCCACCTCGCCCGTTCCAAGGGCGGTGTGGACGCCCCTGGCCTGCCGACGGACGAAAAGTCGTGGATCAACCTCGTCGCCCGCGCGCGCGCCGCCGTGCTCGAGACGATCAGCGCGAGGACCGGCTGTGCGCCGATTGGGCAGTTCATCACAAACGAAATTGTCAACAACCCGCTGAGCTGGGAGGACAAGTTCAACCTCGACAAGGGCGCCATCCTCGGTCTGACGCACAGCGTACCCAACGTCCTCGCCTTCCGGCCGCGCACCCGCGCCGAGGGTCTTGAGAATGCCTACTTTGTCGGCGCCAGCACGCACCCCGGCACGGGTGTGCCCATTGTGCTGGCGGGGGCCAAGATCACAGCCGAGCAGATCCTCGACGACCGGGGTCTGCCCGTGCCGTGGGCCCACACGAAGAACTTTCCGAAGCAACAGCTGGCGGAGCGGAGGCAGAAGACCAAGGCGCTCGACCTCATGCGGTATACGTTCCACTTTGGCTCGGAGGAAGTCGCCGTGCTGTCGTTTTTGTTTGCGGTGTGCATGATGTACTTGTTTGTGTGGCCGAGAGTCGTGTCACTTGTTTGCTAAGCGTGGGGGGAGCATTTTGCGATACCTCTGGTAGACGGCGTTGGAGGACCTAGATACATACGGTCTTGGGAGCTAATGATAATTTTACATTTGACAATCAAACTGCTCATTTCCAGGAATCAGAAATACCATGTAAACGATTGAGAGCACAATCATGGATGAAGCTATCGCGACAGGACCAAGATGGTCACACCAAACCCAACGAACGATGACAATCCATGTCGTCATCATTGGTCGGCGCTTACTCAGGTGTTAAGGCCGGCTTGGCCGGCCCGTCAAGGCCGCATCGAGCAGCGGGGGCCGCTTGGGCCGATCTGGCGGGGCAGATGCAGTGCAATGTGGAGTTCCCTCGGAGCCAGGTGGGGCGCGCCGCCTGTCAGCATGAATAATCCCGTTAAGCATCTCAGAGCAGA